CTTTGTTCTACATGATGCTTTGTTCATGCTTAGCTCTCACAGTCCAGCTGCCTCCAACTCTGACTCTAGAGATCACATGGACAACACGTGAATGGAAACAACCCTGTAGGTAAAAGAAAGAGGAATTTGGACAGAGATCAAAGATTAGCTTCGTTCCACTCTTTCCTTCCACTTTTTACTATCCCATTTAGTTTGGAATTTTATGGGACTTTTTTTTTATTCTCAAAGGAAAGAATAAATGTAAATCAAGTTTGGGACCTCTCTGTCTCCTAAAATACATGTGATTTGATTTGCTCAGTAGAAACTTTGATCACTGAATTCTCAATTTCTAAGAGATTTCAGTATGAAGCACATTATCTACTGGCAAGATTTAGTACTCTATTTTGAAAATGACCACTGTAAGCCTGGTTAAGTTACAGAAGAAACTGTTTTGAATATTTAACAATATGATTAATATGTGTCTTTCTCTATGATATTTTAAAACTTTCTACAATAGAACTAATTACTATATGCTATTAATGTTGACTTAGACAAAGACCATTTCTAGTCATTAGGGTCAACACTGCATCATTTGTTTTCTGAACATTTATTATTCCTTTGCTAGTCATCAGGTAATATGCTGAGGTTCAGTGTTGTCAGTCTCGTTCCCAGTGGCCGGTGTGAAGATGTTTATTGCCATATTCAGAACTTCCATGGGAAATATGAACTACTGCAAAGCTAGAAAACATGTTTACTTATTCTTTAAACACTGTTAAAAATAATCTTTACCAACCATTCAATACTGGATACCTATAGTTATTCTGACATCTACCCAAATAGTAGCTAAGTGGTTAGTACTACCAGTGGTAGTAGCTAAGCATTTTAGGACTGTTGTGGGGAAACCATCTCATGTTGTGTTCATGGCTAAACTCAAGTGCTAGATCAGAACTGATAATCATGGCAGTTGTTTACTGGGTGGGTATCTTAATGCATCCAAAATTAAGATGGCATTATTTATTATTTTATCATTCTAAAAATGGAAGTAACTTCACTTAGGTTCATGTTCTTACTGCTTGACCATCTCTATCTAGGTTCTGATGATTTCTTTTCATACATAAGACTGTAAAATGTCAGAGAAAAGCTAAGATCAGACAGGAAAGCTGTCCAGGCATGTGTTCAGATAATGCACTTCTGCATGCATGTGTATTCTTTCAAGTGTTCATGCCTTCACATACAATCATTTCAATTGTGTTTTATACATGTAAGAGGAAATGAAATGGTGTTTTCTGATATATAAAGAATAATACAACAAACTAAAATTTTAGCGTTAATGAAAGCATCACATAAGGGTCAAACTGTGAAAACAAGATTATCTGTTACCAAGAGTTGAGCAGAAATAAGGGAAGAGGTGAAGCACTGGGACTTTTCGCCAGTTGTAACTATTTCATGTGATACTATTGATGGTGGAAACATGACATTATGCATGTGTCAAACACTATGGACTTGCACAACACCAAGTATGAAGAGTAACTATGGACTTCAGTTAACTGCAATGCATCATTGATGACCTGTAAATTATAATAAATATAACATTTTAATGTAGGATATTGATAGGAAAAGGAAGGATGTATTTGGGTAATATCTGAAACTTCTCTTAGGTTCTCTACAATCTTCCAAATTCTCTGAAAAATAAAGTTTATTAATCATTAAAAATATATTTGATTTAAAAATTAAGCGTTTGTTCCCTATAAGTTCATAATATACATAAAAACAAAATGCCATGTTGAAACACGTGTTTTTATTTTTATGCATGCAATTTTTCAGTTATTTATGGAAATAGGTTTATGTACGATGATGAGTTTTTTTAAAACACTGAACAAGAAAAATTTATATTTGGCATTATGAAAGGGTAGATGTCCTGAAATACAACTACATAAAAATGTTAAGTTAAACATAAAAAGTACCCTCTAAGTTTATTGATGACATATAAAAAGATGAAGGAAGAGCAGCTAACACTAGAGATGTTGGTCACCCTAGTATCCATGACCAAGTCTTCATTTTTTTCTGAGCTTGAGTATTAGAATTCTTTGGCATACTGGAAAAGACCATTGAAGGCTTGAACCTGTCAGAAGAAAGAGAGCTGACTGAAGGCCAGTAGAAATTATAAAAGGCCACGTGAAAGAAAAGAATGTGTCCAAAGGAAGAGCAGCTAACACTAGAGATGTTGGTCACCCTAGTATCCATGACCAAGTCTTCATTTTTTTCTGAGCTTGAGTATTAGAATTCTTTGGCATACTGGAAAAGACCATTGAAGGCTTGAACCTGTCAGAAGAAAGAGAGCTGACTGAAGGCCAGTAGAAATTATAAAAGGCCACGTGAAAGAAAAGAATGTGTCCAAGATAAAATGCTAATGAAAAAAAAAGAGACAAGCCTGTTTAATT